TGTGTGTAGGAGCGTGCGTCGAAGAACTGCCAGGTTTGGGCAGTGAAGGAGAAGATGTTCAACGGTCTCCTCGTGGTAGTCACAGTGTCTGCAATGGGGTTCCCACATGGAATTGATTTTGTTTATGTGCTTGTTGGTGTGTAAGTGTCCTGTGGGGGCTCTGAAGATCAGAGTCTGATCGGCTCTACATAAAAGATTCGAAGGGTCTTTGGGGTTGGGTTTGTCCATGTACCCGAAGACAGATCTTCCTGTTTCTGCGTTGGCCTATCTGTTTAGCCACTCGTCTCTGCTTTTGGCTTGGATGATCCCTCTGCAGGTCTGATCATCTGCGGGTAATTTCATATGTCTTTGAATTACATGCCTAGCAATTTGATGATGACTTTGCTTTAGAACCATTAGTTAAATATAGATAACTCTCTATCTGCTTGATAATGAATAAACGGAAAAAAGCGATAAAAAAAAAGCAGCCTATCGTAAGTGGGCCCTTTTATTTGTCTCTTTGAGAAAGTTTGGTTTGATGAGGACATAATTCCTTAGGTTTCTTAAATAACTCTTGTTTGCTTTTCAGTCTTAACACTTTCATAAAGGGAGCAAGAATGTTTGAAAAATGTATGGTTTTATGCCCCTCAACACTATAAGGTTATTCAAAAGGCGGAACCTCAAGATTTAATGCTCATCTTTGATAGGACAGAGCCAAATGGGGGCACACTTTGTGTTAAACCCGAGCCTGCAATCTCACAATTATGAGTCTGCAGGGATGCCATTTTTCCACTTTTTTCCGGTATTTCCGGTATTTTGATCCTGATCTGCTATTCCGTTATTGCGATCGAGATAGAATCTATAGATGGAAAAAACCCCCACAAAACCCCCCATAAACACACACAACAACTTGCGCCAAATGTTCAAATAACGGAAAAACAAAGACTTCGCTGTAAGTTCAAATAACCGGGAGTGCTTATGTTTGTTTGTCATTTCTCTCTATGTACACCCTTTGGGTCTCAAATTGATATTCATATGTTAGCGTGATAGTGGCGCGTGGATTTTTAGGTATCTTCAAAAAAAGTTGAGTGGCATCCCTGAGTCTGGTAGTTTCACTTCTCGACAAAGGACACCACCAGCAAGAATGTTTCCAGTTGAATTTTTCTCTAGTCTGCTATATTTATACAGGGTGAAACGTTTGTGGGTAATGTTTGCTTACGCTACTAATATGTCAGGTCGCCATTTTTGTTGTGTTTGATAACCAATATCGTCGACAAGATGGTAAAATGTACTAAGCCTAGAAAGCAATATTTTCTTGATGAGAGAAAAAACTGTTTATTCTTTTAACTGGAGTACTTGCATGTGTATTTGTTCTTGTTTTTACAGCATTTTGATGAAATATTTTGTGAGCAGAAGCAATCGATACAACAGATGAAGAAACTGCCGTTAAAAAATTTATTTCCAAATTTTGGGCTTAGTATATCTGAACAGCTGGCCGAAGATATGCACAGTTTTGAGTTGCTTCTTTCTAGTGTGATTCTCTCTCAGCCAGACAGATGCTATTGTCTCATTTGATTTAGTCACGGCCAATGTAATAGAGCGGTTAAGCGTAAAGTGTCCTGTCCTTTGCATATTTAAAGAGCACAAGAAAATTAGTGTGCCGTTGCTTTGATTTATATGATGTTTTTCTCTGGCAGGAAGCTTCGAACTACATCATTACAGAGTACGATGGTACAAGCACTGATGTTCTGGCACAAGTCAATGGTACACTCCTTTTATACATCCTGGCAGTTCGCTACTCTGGGATTACAAAGTTCTATCTGACATTTTTTGCTGTTTTGAGTAGCTAAGACCACGAGGTCAGGAACCAAATGTTCTATGTTCTGTCTGCTCTGTCAAAATCTTAAGATTATTTGGAGTGGTTATCAAGATATTCAAAGAATTGCATTCGAAAAAAGCTTGACACGATGTGAAACTCAAAGTCTTTGACGTCAAATTTCACAAAACTAAGTACTGTGCAGATAGAACTTTGTAATTCTGAGGTGGCAAGTTGTTACTTGTTATGCCTCTACATCTTTTTAGAGTTGCTGGTTTTTGAGAACTCATTGTTAGAGAGTGAAGGAGACAGTTAGTTTAAGTAGAGGTTTTACGGCGCTCGCAACTGCATAAGGTCATATGAGCGCCAGAAGATTAGAGGTGTTACAAGTGAGTAACAAACATAAAAAAGAAGAAGGGGAGATAAGGATGATAGATTTTCGATAGGAAAGAAGGAGCAAACCATACCAGAGCACCCGCCAACCACCCACTGAAGGAGACAGGTGATCGCTGTTTATGTATCTATGGATAGTGTATTTTTTAAATACTTTTTTTTAATGATACGCAGCATTATGTGACTATAGGAGCATATTTCCCATGAACCAAAATAGACTGTTGTTGACAGAAAAAGTGTTCAAGATATTGAAAGAATTTTTCTGTAACATTTTAGGTACATGTATTGTCCGTAGCTTTCTGAAGCTGGTAACCAACTGACCATTCATTTTAAGCGATTGATTTGAGGAGATTTGATGGGAATAACGATTTGGTCTGTTGCTTCCGTTTTTTATTACTGTAGCAGTACCTGTCTGTGTGTTTACTAGGGCTGCCCATCATTACGAATTTGGCAAAATCGTTCCCGATTTTTATGAAAATAGTATCGTAATACCACTTATTTAGATTTTTAAAATGTCGATGTGTTTTGGTGTAGGATCAGGATTAAAAGCTTATGACATATTCTGGAGTTCCAAAGGTTTCTTTTGCTTTTGCAAGCAGTAACCCACCCCCTTTCCTGTAACCCCTTTTTTTCTTAACTGGACAATGAGGAGCCCGGCGAGATCTCTTTTTACCTCATGCCTTTTTTTGCATTACATTTATACTCAACTGCAACCCCGTCCTTGACACCTCAGGGAAGAAGACTTCCTGTAGCCATATTACAAATTTTAAAGCCAGATTACTAATTTTTAAATTTGTTGATCACTAAAACATATGCTGGTGTGTGGGCAGTCCTGGTTTAGCGTTGCTGTTTTGCCAGATTTAAGCTTCTGTTGAGTCTACATGTCCATGTTCATGTTAATCACAGTACGCACAACAGTGGTTGTCCAGCCGGTAGCTGGCTTGCTTCATTACCCGTTTTTGTCACTTTGAACTTGTATAAATGACGATAGTGGGTGGTTGGCGGGTGCTCTGGTGGTGGTTTGCTCCTTCTTTCCAATCAAACATCTGTCGTCCTTATCTCCCCTCCTTCTTTTTTGTGTATGTATGTTACTCTCTTGTAACACGTAATCTATTCTTTGGCACTTATATCACCTTATTGTGTTGCAAGTGCGGTAATAAAATTCTTACTAAAACTAAACTGAACGATGATAAGCTGAGTGGCAAGGACCTTCTGTGCTTTATCTCTGACGAAGTTCCTGTGCTTCTCTCAACAGAGCCGTTGTTTCTGTTGAGCCTTTATCTGTGTTGTTATTGTCATGTTTTGCTTCCTTGTGCTTATACAAGCCAGCAGTGTCCTCATTTCAGTCCAGATAAGAAGCGCAGGTGGTAGGAGGGCGGCACTTGTAGGTCCTACTTCTTTTCTTTCCCTCTGTTGTTTCTGTCTGTCTGTCTGTCTGTCTGTTTGTCTTACTATTTCCCACTGCTAAAGGACCATTAGTGTGTGGATGTGCTCCTCTTTACTCAAACAAATAAACAAGCGAGATAAGAACCCGTCAATTTCAACAGAAAAACAGACATTGAATGTCCTGGCAACAGCCAAAACATGCGGAGCAAGCCGACGGCGTGATTTCTCTAATGTGGAGTTAGACCTACCATTTTTCTTGACCCGGTGACAGAGATCAAATGTCATTGCAGTTTTTGATAAACAAATACCTGAACTTTTAAAGTTTTTAATCTTAGTGCTGTAATAATAACCTGTCCCTGTGGTTTTATGCACCCTCATAATTTAGTGAAATTTGATCTTTTTTTCCCAAATTTTTGATTATTTTCCTTTGATAAAATTAACACAATCGCATAATTTCACATTTTTGGGATCAGTTTGCATAATTTCAGAATTTTTTTTGCATAAAACGACGGGGACAGAATAATTAATTAAACCTCAAAATGTTATTTTTATAATTTGACCTAGTTTTTAGACTGCTTAGTATTATTCACAGGAAAATAAATGCGAAAAGACACAAAAGACTAGATTTTATATACAATCGAAAAATGGTACCTCATTTTCAAAATCTCCTGTATATTTTTAAGATTTTTGCTTTTCTAAATTTCAGGGTCTGCCGATGCTGCGGTGGAGGGTGTGCTGAACCAGCTCAATGCCACAGCCTACATCGATGAGGCCAAATCTGTAGCGCGGGGTGAGAGATATTTGAGGGTCGCTATTGGAGAATTTTCTTACGGACTTAGAACACCCAGAGTTTTTGCTTCTGTGTGTGTGCGTGAGTGCAAGCATGAGTGCGTGCGTGCTTGAGTTGTATATATGTGAGGCAAACAGACAGTGTTTTGAAAATTTTGAGATTTAATATGGGGATGTTGGACATATGTTGTCAGTATAAGATTGAGGTCTTATGTTCTCATGATACTTTATGATAGTTACTTGTATGTATTCTTTTCAGAGGCAAATAAGACGAAGGATGCCCTGGATGAGGTAGCTCAAAACCTTGCAGGTTTAAAAGATGAAAGCGATGAACTGAAAAACAACCTGACGGACATTAAAAATGATATTTCTGCTATTTGTGGTACTAGTGGCTGTTCTGGTTTTGATGCGAATGATTATAACACAGACGCCAACTTTTCTTCGGTAAGTCGTTAAGTCTTTCCTTTTCTCTCTTTTTTTTCTTCTTTTTTTCTTTTTTGTTTTGTTTTGGAGACCTTTTGTCCTTGTTTATTGAATGAGTGAATGCCTTCTTATTGGGTGATATTGTATTGTGCACATTTGTAGTGGTGTAGGTCTGTTCTGTTCGTTATGACTTTTTGCATTTGTTGTGGTGTAGGTCTGTTCTGTTCATTATGACTTTTTGCATTTGTAGTGGTGTACGTTTGTTCTGTTCGTTATGATTTTAGTGAAAGGGTTTGTGAAGATTTGGAGGCAAGTGTGATAGTGAACTTGCGGCGTGGACAGGAAAATTTTTTCTCCCAAACTCAGGCGCTCGCAAAAAATGTGAAAAACGAAGGTACCTGACGAGGCTCTCCGTCATACAGGGCCCCTATGATCCTCTTGGATTATAGGATCAGTGACGGTGACGGTGATAATGAACTTGAAAGCATGTGTTCAACAAGCTTGCAAGGAAAACAAGAAATATGTATCGACAATCGTCAGAATCCCTCCACAAGCGCCTAAGTCAATTTAAAAAAAAAGTTTTTGAGAAAAATTAATAAAAGTAAAAAGGGGGGGGGGGGGGGGCAAATCAGAACCAAGACTTGGGCACTGGTCATTTTTCAATTAATAACTCGGAAGGAATTAAAGAAACTGAATGAAACTGTATTGTAATTGGCCCTCTGATGTCTTCATTGGAATAACAACTTTATCTTGAAGCCCCTAGAAATTGATTTGGGAGATTGTGGAATGATTGTGCATGCCGTGGTAGAGACTTCCGATTCGTGCGACAATATGGTGAAAACAAACATTAAATAGAAATTCCAAGATTATTTGATGGGTACAGTGGTGAAAAATCAGTTTTTTGCTTCTCCTGTAAAATTTTAAAAACCGAGTTACAATAGTTGTGCTCCTACCCCGCAATATATACTGTGCAGGACCATGGCTAGCACAAAGTGCGAGTACAATTTAGACAGCGAGAGATCTTGTCAGTATGTTAGTGTTAGAATTTTAGTTCCTGTAATAAAATGGTAGCTTACATTGTATGTATCCTAGGAAGTTGAGATTGTTGCAGAAGGCTATCAGGTCTGCTGGTGTGATAATTTAGATTGTGAAGTGCATAGATCTTGCTGTTGATTGAAAATTTGTGCTTTACAAATGCTATTTATTATTATTATTATTATTGTTTTTATTATGATTATTTTGATGGTTATAATAATTATTATTACATAAAGTGTCATTGTTATAGGTACACTCAATAACCTGTACAAACGACAACCTCCCACTCTCCCCCTCCAGCAGTTTTTCTGTATTATAATGACATTGTCCAATGAGTCGACCTGTCTAAGACTATCACTTCTCTCCTCAACAATGGGTGACGGCCTTGGACAGATTTGACTGTACTTGGTCTCTGATATATTTGTGCTGTATGGGAAAATGTTGCGGTGACTCGTATTGGAAATGTTTCTTTAAGAAGTATTTCTCTCATCTTTGACAGTTGGGTGAACTGCAGAGCCAGGCTGCGAAGGTCGCTCAAGCCCTGGACATGAACCGATATATTTTACAGGTGAGTTAAATGCTGAGAAGTCGCAAAGTTGAATTACAGTACATAGTCTTGTACTGCTTAGATAAAAAAACAACTTCAGTGACTTCAGAATAATAGTCTAAGCCAACTTATTGGCAGCCTGTTCGTTCTGAATTTCCATTTTACCGTCTTAATTGCGGAGGGTCATACAGTGTTTGCAACACTTCAGTACTTAATTCACACAGACCTGTAGATGCTACAGTTTTCTATTAACTCATTAAAGCCTGGCTTGATCTGTTGAAACTGAAATTGTGCAGTGTCCCGGAAAAAATCAGCTCTCATATCATATTTTTCAGCAGAAGAAAATTTTCAGGAGATATCAATAAATTTTGATCAAAATGGAAAATCAAAAAGAACACAAGTTTGTCTTGATTCCAAATGCTTTGGGACACACTATCTATTTTATGCTGTAGATCTGAATTTTAATATTTACTATAAATATGTATTTGGCATGCTAAAACTTCCTTTTAAAGTAATACAAATGTTGTTCTGAAGAATGTTCTAGGGAAATTAGAGAGATCATTACTGCAGATGAATAATTTGAATGCATAAGGAGGGTTAATTTCTTCCGATGGTTTATGCAAATTTTGAAGTTTTGTTCTCTTTTAAGTAATATGTTTTTCTTTGGGGTTTTTTTGAAGTTTCATTTTGTTAATAGTTAGTGAATTAAGCTTTATTTGGACCTCTACCAAAAATTTTTTAACAGTTTCACTTTGGTGCAAGTGGGTAAATGTTGATGGCATATTTTGTGTTGGTATTTATACTTCAAGTGAATACTGATTGGGCACATTTTTCTGGGTAATTTGTGAATATTAATTGCGTAGATTTCATTTGGTACTTTGATCATTTATGGGTATGTTGATGGTGTAATTTATTCTTCGTACATTTGAGAGTATGTCGATTGCTTACCATGTGGTTTTTTGATTGTGGGTAGGTTAACGTGTAGTGTGCTTGCTATGTATACATTTCTTTTAGTGCACAGTTATGAAAGTTGATTATCAATTATGTTCATTTCCTTTTGCGCGCCTGTGTGAATCCAGGTTGTGCATACAATTAGAGTAAAACAAAACATAGAGTGGAGTCCTCGTAAACGTGAACACGATTCATCTGAAAACAGTGGTGAACCGGAAAAAAAAAATCAAATCTCCCTTTTCCCCCCCCCCTGATATTTCAGTAGCCTGTTTACGCGGAAAACTCCGCTATACCTCAGAAAAACCAGCGGTCCTGCAGATTTCACTTTAAGTGGGCTCAATTGTGTTTCTTTTGAACACATTTCCTTCAGTATGCATCTGTGAACGCTTATTGTGTTCTTTCATTTGGTGTGCACACTTACCTGAACATTTGTTATCTTAGCCTCTATATACACAAAGTTGTGACATGTGTACACATGTTTTCGTTATCGTAAAATTAAAGAAATATACGAGCAAACTGATTCACGAGTTCTGTTTTTTTTCTTTTTTTAGGCTGAGGCGGCAATGGCTGATGCAAAGGATCAAGCACGTGCCCAAGTGGTGACACAGACAGATGGTAGGTTATGTGTGTTACATCGTCTCAAAATGAGGCTCGTGGTCAATTTAGGATTTTGCAATAGGGTGCAGGGAAATTCTTTTAATAATTTGGAAAAAAGTGAAAAGAACATTTTTAAATTTAATACGGATATTGAGATATTCACTGATTGCCAATGTGCTCAAAGAAAAAGCCAGGGGGGTAATGTTTCAGGCTGCTACTTACTAGCTGTTTAATTTGTATCTACAAGTGGTGTTACGCTCAGAACTTATTCTTGTGTGGGATAGAGCGCTTTATAAACGCTATGTATTAGTATTTTCTATTATTATTAATTATTACTATTACTATTATTTTGTCATTATTATTATTATTATTATTATTATTATTATTATTATTATTATTATTACTATTATTATTATTATTATTGTATTCTAGTTACTGGTTTCTTGGCAAATTTTTCAGCACACAAAGAAAGCAATTAAGTTTAAATGATGAGAAGAAGAAATAAAAGTAATCCCCGCCGTAGATCTACTGTCGTGCGATTTAGATTGCATGCAGACTTCTGATTTTTATTGAGGCCCTGCAGGTCATTTTTGGCTATAAGTTTGAATCTAATATAAAGAAAAAAAAGAGTTGAATGAGTTCTTCCGGTAACTCGGTTAGAGCATAATTTTTAAATGTGTTGTCGAAGGGTCTCACAATGTGCATTTTCTGTCCTTTGATTCGTCAGTTAAGTTGATGATAACTCTGCATTGTGCAGCGCTAAGAGCCGTCTTCGAGTGGGTGGTTGGCGGGTGCTCTGGTGTGGTTTGCTCCTTCTTTCTTATCAAACATCTGTTGTCATTATCTCCCCTTCTTCTTTTTTATGTTTGTTACTCTCTGTAACACCTCTAATCTTCTGGCGCTCATATGACGTTATGCAGTCGCGAGTGCCGTAAAACCTACTAAAACTAAAGTAAAAGCCTTCTTGGGGTTAGGTGCTATGTAAAGTCAAAGGTCATTGTTGGAGTGCAACATCATACAGTAGATGGATAACGCCTAGAAGGAAAGAAATAAAGAAAGAAAAAAAAAGAAACAAAGAAGGAAAGAAAGAATTATATTTTACGTAGGTCTAAATGTCTGTCAGATGTTTCCCCTTGGCATGGTAGAGGAGTCAAAGTTGACTATTTTCATATTTTCATTTACCTTATTGTATGTTACCCTCAGTCTCTCTATGTTCCAGATTTTTTTTTTTCTGCAGTTTTGTGGTTGGTAGGGTGGGTGCTCTGCTGTGGTTTGCTTCTTCTTTCCTAATAAATATCTATCATCCTCATCTCTTCTTCTTTTCTTTGTGTGTTACTCTCTTGCAACACTTCAACTAATCTTCAGCACTTTTGTGACCGCGGGTGGTTGGCGTGTGCTCTGGTGCAGTTTGGTCCTTCTTTCCTATCAAACGTCTATCGTCGGTTGGCGGGTGCTCTGGTGTGGTTTGCTTCTTTACTATCAAACATCTACATTTTTATGTTTGTTACTCTTGTAACACCTCTAATCTTCTAGCCCTCATATCACCTTATTCAGTTGCGAGCGCCGTAAAACCTCTACTCGGGGATGTAAATCTTCTGGCTTTTGCCGTTTTTTCCGGCCGACTTGCCATTTGGGCCCCAGCTTTTAACTTAAGTCTGCTATAAACAGTACTTCTTATATATACTAAATAGAGATTATTTGGGGGCTCTCGTGGCCTAGAGGTTAAGGTGTTGGCCTCTCATTCAAAGGCCCCGGGTTCGAATCCGGGTAGCGACCGAAAAATTTTCTTCTCTTAAATTGTCTCTTTTCACCTCCTTTCCTGCTCTCTAGCAATATTCTGTTGTCTGCTTTCATTTCCACTTTCTGCCCCCACCCCCTCACCTCCTTTGCCCCTTCCTCTGGGCTCCTGGCTCTTTCCGCAGCCTTTCTACTGCTACTCCTTGGCTCCTCCTTACTGCTGTCTTTCTGCCACACCCCTGATCTTCTGGTAGGAAAGATCTACACCTAGCCTTCTCGGACAAGGGCGAAAAATCTCGGAGGGCCCGTGTGCAAGTTGCGCACGTTAAAGATCCCTTGGTGGTCTAAAATCGATAAGAGTAGGCTTCGGCCGCCACCCGGGCAAAATTCAAAATTTCCTACCAACTGAAAATATTAGGTGTGTCCCGCGCGCTCATATGACCTATGCAGTTGCGAGCACCGTAAAACACTTTACAAAAACAAAAACAAGAGATTATTTGTTGGAATAGAGGGAACGAAATAAATGTAATTTAGTCTCCCTGTTTTCTTATTTCTGTCAATGCACTTTTTTTTAAGAAACCTGTTTACATCCCTATCTACTAAAACTAAAAACATCGTCTTTATCTCCCCTCCTTCTCTTTTTGTGTTTGTTACTCCTCTTGTAGCACCTCTTATCTTCGGCAGTTATATGACCTTATTGTGTTGCAAGTGCCGTAAAACTCTTACTAAAAACTAAAAAAACCTTTTATGACCTAGTTCGCTACCATAGAATTAAAAAGTTCTTTCTGACATTTTTGGCCGTTTTGAGTGACTATTACCATAAGGTCAGAAACTTCCTTTCTGCTCATCAAAATCGTAAGATTATTTGGAGTCGTTTTTAAGATATTCAAAGGATTGCATTCGAAACAGCTTGAAATGTTGTGAAACTAAAACTTTTTTTGGGTCAAATTTCTCAAAACTAGTTACTGAGCAGATAGAACTTTGTAATTCTGGGGTAGCGATTTGTGTTGCAAGCGCTGTGGAACTACTAAAACTAAATAAACTAAAGTCGATCCCTCTGTTTCCTTTCCCGATTGTCTTTTATTTGTCTTCATTTTCCTCTCCCTCCCCCTCCCAGATGCTGCCAAGGCTGTAAAAGATGTCCGTGTAACCATCGTGGACAAGCTGGCAGAGCTTGAAAAGTTCAAGGATGATGCTGTGAGTTTGTGTGATGATGAAGGAAGCGAAGAAACAGAATTATGCACTGCTGCTTAACTCTTTAAAATGTGGAATTATTTTCCTCGTTTTGACAGATTTTTTTCAAGAACTCGTGAAACACGTAACGGGAGATACACGCAAAATGTTCGTAAAATGGCTAAAACTGTGCCAAAGTGAAAGAGGAAGTGGTTTATGCATTTATCAAATACTTCCGAGTTAAGGTAAATCTATTCGCATTTGTAAGAGATTGCATTAGCAGTAATGCTTCATGCACCCTGCGATCTGACCGGACCCTGGGACTGTCCACTCGGGGGCCGGCAAATTTCACTGGATGCTCCCGTCGTCCCCTTGGGGTTATAGAGTTAATTTCACATTTGATTTTGTTTTTGAAAAACGCCTACTGTTGGTAGTTTTCGCTTAAACATTTGTCATGGGTGTTTGGTGGGTGCTCTGGTGTGGTTTGCTCCTTCTTGACTATCAGACATGTATCATCCTCATCTCTTCTCTTTCTTTCTTTCTTTTTTTTGTGTTTATAATTCTCTTGTCACACATCTAATCTTTGGCACTTATACGACCTAATTGGGTTGTAAGTGCTGTAAAACACATGCTAAAAAAACCCATAAATCAAGTTTGATTTCATGCCATGCTAATTTAAACCCTATTTTAGTTTTGTGAAGCTATTTGTACATTCCTCTTTTAAGCTCAAAACTGTACAATTAACGTTGGTTGTGCACATTTATTGCGTGCCCACACAGAAAGATTCGTAGCGATTTTTCTATCATTAATTTACGTTTGAAAATGTTCACTGTGCATTTGCTTTGCGTTTTCTTTAATGCATTGATTGGAATCCTTTCTTAATTTTTTAGAAAATTTCTTCATAATTACATTGTTTTTGTAGTGTTTACTTAGTACCCAGAAAGTCTTTGTTCAGTTTTTTAAAGGTTGTTTTTCTGTCTTAAGATTTGAAAGTCAACACTGGACTGTTCACAATGAAAGAAAGGAATTTTTGTCTCTAGAGAAGTTGCACATGATGAAATATCCAAATGAAAAATGCAACCCTGTCTTAGTACACTGTAAAATATCTAAATGAGAAGTGCAACTGTGTTCTCAACATTTTCAGTTATTTGATTGACATTTTTCTGTTCTTGTACTCTTCAGCTCAATTTTCTACCAGAGACATATCGAAACTTGGATGATGCAAACGAAGATGCGCGGGAATACAGCAAATATGTGTAAGTGGCAAATACTACTTCTTAAAATTGAAAGACATGAGTAACAATTAAGGGTGTGTTGTTACTGATTTACGTCACTATGTTGAAATACAAATACATTAGAATTTTAAGTTTCTGTTCATGGGTGGTTGGTCGGTGCTCTGGTGTTATTTTCTCCTTTTCTGTTGTACATCTGTTGTCCTTATCTCTTCTCCTTAAAACCTACAGGGAGAGGAGAAGCCGTTCTGTGTCGGATGCGACACAGATTTTACCATTAGACACATTTTAACAGAATGTCTAGACTTTGGAGAGATCCGAAGGAAATATTATAAATGCAAGAAATTGCAGGATATTTTCTCCGTCGTTGTTCCCAGCAGAATTTTAAATTTTATAAAGGCCATTGGCCTTTATGGCGAGTTGTAAAGTGAATCTGATATTATTTAAAATTTTTAATGTTACTTAAAAGTTGTTTTAGATCACAAATGTATTTACACCGAATTTGAATATTTTAAACTTTTTAGCATTTTAAAGTAAATTAGTTACCAGTCGTGAAGTGAACTTTCGCAGAGGTGAACAACTTGTGTTTCGCGCGCTCATATGACCTTAGCAGTTGCGAGCGCCGTAAAACCTTATACTACTACTCTCCTTAAAAAATTTTCTATGTTACTCTCTAGTGAAACTTCTAATCTTCGGTACTTGTATATGGCAAGTACCGCAAAACTCTTAGCAAAACTAAATTAAAACTAAAGTGTTTGTTCATACTTAATTTATGTATGTTTTGGGTGTAGTCTTCCTTATGTGAAAATGCTGTTGTCAAATGTATTGGTTAGATTCTCGGCTGTCAAACACAGGAGACCCCCAAGTTCAATTCCGTGTGGGGAGAAATTTTTTTGAGTGTCTCAGCTTCTCTGCTAGGACATTGTGTACCTCTTAGCCTATATGGGCCTGACAAGTAAAGTCGAAGGCTGCATCTTAAATGATCTATATTAGATCTATGTGAATGGAGGCATACAAATGACACATTTAAATTTTGAAAAAGAAAATTTTTGAAGAAAGTGTATATTCGGAATGTTTAGGTTCTGAAAGAAATCATGTATTCACTTGTTAGTGTAGATTTGTCTCCATCACTTTAGGGTCATTAAAATAATTAAATTAAAATTTGTATATTGTACGCATGAGTGGAGAAGAGAAACCATGACTTTCTGCTAGCGTCTATTCTCCTTCACGACAGAGACGAAAATAAAATAAAACTAGCTTTTCATCCAATAGCAAAATGAAAAATGAAAAAGTTGATACAATCAGAAACATTTTTTTTTGGTGCAAAACTAAATCTTTGATTCAAAATTCTTTTTTCTTGTAATAAGAAGTATGGGCAGGGCTTATTTTTCATGGTAAGATTTATTCATCATGGAAAGCTGCTTAGATATTATATTTCCTGTCAGAGACTTTTTACAACTGTGATTCTCTCTTTTTCTTTTCTTTTTACTTTTCTTTTTTACTTTCTTTGATGAAGTTGCTTCGACCTTTCCACTGATATGTGTCCTGACATGCAAGTGACCTAATTTCCACCAGCTGTCACTTTGATCAGGAAAAAGAGATCTGGATCTTAGCTTTGTTATTTGATTCTTGTTGCGATGCAGTTGTTGCTGCCTGTTTGTTGAACTCAGATATTGGTTACAGTGCTTGCTTTTTAACAACAACAACAAAAGAATTGATGATGTAATAACTTTGTTTTTTCACGGTGTGCCTGTGATATAAACATTTTCCATCTTTTCAAATTCATTGTGATCACAATAATTGTTTCTTTTTTTAAAACTTGTTTCTTGAACGATAGATTTTACGGCGGCATCGGCATCTGTTGTGCTTACCTGCTGATTGTGGTCCTGTACTACGTGGGAATTATCTACGGGCTGTGTGGAGAGCGGCCAGGGCACGATGCCCCGTGCTGTCACACTGGAGTCGGCGCAAACTTTCTCATGGCGTGAGTAGTAATTGTGTCACGAGCTGTCCAGCTGTCGGTGCATCATCATCATCATTATCATCATCATTGTATAAAGAAGGTATTAAAACAGTTAAGACCTTGTTGTATTTCCCAAAAAAAATATTTTTCATCATTATCATCATCATCATTGCCTTTTTCACCCAAGAGGATCAGGATATAGGCCACGAACAAACATTTTCCTCCCTTCCCCATCCCGGGCTAGTCATTTGATGTCACTCCGTGTCTTCCCACTTTTCTGTACACACCCTGGAATGTGCAGCCTGTTTCTGTATCTCTTCATCTCTTGTGCCACTTTAGAACTCTTTGCTTTCGGTGCAATGATGTTTTACACTTCTGTCGGCTTGTTCCCTTTTATGAGGGCATGGTCCCTTTTATGAGTGGTTCTGTTATACTGTGTCCTATGGGTGGCTGGTGAGTGCTTACTTATTCTTTTCATGCTTCTATTATTGTTGTGTTTTTTGGTTTTGATTAAATAAGGCTCACCACATAAAAATTCACGAAGATACAGATCTGACAAAGTCATGTTTTTCAGGGATGATGTAAACAGGAAGTTGTTGATTTATTTATTAATGTGCCAGGGACTGGTCGAGAATGGTGGTTACAATATTTGCCAGTTTGGCCGGACAACACGAACATATAACAATTATCCTTATGAGTTGCTTGTAAAATGTGACAGTCATTGTATTGAATCTATTTTTTGTGTTGTGGCTGGGTTTGTGACAGCTGTTTTTGAAAACTCTGCAAAGAGTTGTGCTATTAATATTATTGCTGTTTTTTATTTCTTGGGGAAAAAATGATTTATTTAATTTTTTTCTTTTATGTCTTTGTAAAGGTTGTTTGTTTCATTTTAGCCATGAGTTGTTCATATTAAACTATGTTATTCATTTATTAACAAAGTCAGGTTACTGACTAATGTCACAGTGAATTATATAACTGTCTGTGATGCGCTGATGGTTCTTGAACTTAAGCTGTTGACCTCAAAATCATTGTCAGCACACTGTGTAATGACCTGGTTTTGAAATCGTTGTTGGTGTTATGTGAAATGTTTTTGTTTTTTAAAATTAAAACAAAAATTTGTTGTTTTTTTTCTTCGTCAGGGGTGTTGGCTTCACCTTCATTTTCTCCTGGCTGCTCATGCTGCTCTGTTTAATACTCTTTGCCACCGGCGGTCCGGCCTACACTGAAGTGTGCAGATATTTTGTTGATCACAACCCTGAGGATGTGCGGGTAATTAAATCAGTTTAGAATTCTTTCTTTCTTTTTTTTGGACAAGCCCGCCTAATTTCAGCTCGAATGGCAGTTTCTTTTTCATCAACTTTACAAGCCTAACTCATTCTTGCCGGAACGGCGCAGTGTGTGTTGATAGTGTAGCTCCTGTTTGCCCCATTAACTATGCAGACCTGTCTTTACTTTAGAATGACCAAGTTCTATCAGACATTTTTGGCCGTTTTGAGTTATTATGACCATGACATGAGGTCAGAAACCAAATGTTCTATCTGGTCTATCAAAGTTGTAAGATTATTCGCAGTCATTATCAAGCTATTCAAAGATTTACATTTGGAAAAGCCTATAATGTGAAACTCAAAAGTTTCAACATCAAATTTCTCAAAACAAGGTACTGAGCTGATAACACTTTGTAATTCTAAGGTCGATGTGTTAATTGATCGATAGCATATACTAGTTTCACACCACAATGCCCAGTACTAGGTTTTAATACAGTACATTATTTCTGTAACAAATCAAGGGAATGTGGTTTGCTCCTTTTTTCCTATCGAACATCTACAGTCTTTATCTCCTCTCCTTTTTTGTGTTTGTTACTCCCTTGTAACACCTCTAATCTTCGGCACTTACATGGCCTTATTGTGTTGCAATTGCAGTAAAACTCTTACGAAAAAAAAAATTAATTAAAGGAAGCTGTTGTAATATTCCACTGTTTGAAACATGAGTTTGTGGGGAGTTAAAAAAAAAAAAAAAAATAATGGAGTATCTCAGCCTGGACGTTGTATCCCTCTCAGCCTGGACGTTATATCCCTCTCTGCCTGGGTAGCATAAACAGTTTTTCTGCGCTCTTTTGGTTTAGCCCTGACAGAGATGGGTGTTGTGTTACAGGTTCCGTCTCTTCATTAATCTTGGTGTGTTAACAAAGAAAGTGGCTTCAAACCCACCCAATATCATCACTGAGTTAGACGGTGGGTGGGTGGCGGGCACTCTGGTGTGGTTAGCTCCTTCTTTCATATCCAACATCTATCGTCCTAATCTCTCCTCGTTCTTTTTTTGCGTTTGTTACTCTTTTGTAACATCTGTAATCCTCAGCACTTGTATCATCTAGTTGTGTTACAAGTGCTGGCTTTAAAAGGCTTACTCAAGCTAAGACCGAGTCAGGCGAAATCCTCTCTTGCTGTGCACACAGTGTTACGTCAGCTGGTATGAGATTTTGGGAGTTCTGAGCAAGTGACCAGGGTTCGATTCCTAGCATGGATCTTTCATTACTCTTTAGGTTGTTGGAAGTCTTTTTTATGGCTCTCCCTCCCATCAAGTAGGAGGTGGACGTTAACTGCATTAATATAATTCATAAGTCCTGTCAGTTTTAGATCAGAGTCAATTTTGAAGAAACTTACTCTTTTTTTCCTTAATACTTGCTCTTCGTTTACAGTGAACTAGTTGAAATATTTTGTGAAAATTTATGTGTATTCTTTTATTAAATACTAAAAGTTCTTTTGCTGTTACTGTAAGAAAGAGGCAGGACCTCTGAATAGTTTTGTGTGTGTTTCCATCCAATAATATGGAGTCAAGTGACTGCAAAGCATTGATTTCTCTCAAAGCAATTCAATCGAAGTACACCCCCCCCCTCATTTGTCTTGTTGTAGGTGGAAGTTAATTATTTGAATGAATAATTCATAAGTCCTGCCACATTAAGAAGATCAAATTTAATTTTGTAGAGAGAGTCATTCTTTTGTCCTCAGTACTTTTGTCTCATATACAGGCCTGTGTGTGCTGAATTAACAAAATTTAAAAAATTGGGACCAGGATGTGCCCTTGTCCAGCATGAATCCAATTGACTCGCCCTTTATTTGAAACCACTAGTATTTATAGCTGTTTGCTCTTGCATCCCACAGTTCTTGGATGAGCCTCTGAAGAACGGGTTTGACTTCCGGTCTTGGTACGACAAGTTCCCTGAGGACTTCTCTGTGTCTGGAACATTGCAGTAAGTCCGAGGTTTTATACCGGCGTCTGTGCTGTAGCGGTTAGGTGCTGCTCTGCTGTCACACGTAGTGCACCTGAGTTGGATTCCCGTGTTGGGAGAAATTTGTTACAGAGTATCTCCCGTCTTTTTACTGAAATGTTGTATCCGTCTCTGCCCGGGTTGACCGTGACAGGCATGGTCAGAAGCCTGCCTCCTAAATGATCTAAATTGTGTTGATGGAGGCGTTAAAAAAACAAAAAACCCAACATTTAAACAAAATTAAGTTTTAGAGATTTTACTTCAAGGGTCGCTCAGACTAGGGGCAGGTTATTCCACAGCATGGTACAGTATAATCCTTATATCGACATGCTTTGGGAAGTGGATTTGATGTCGATATATAAAAATTTCGATAAATGAAAATATAAAGCCAAAGACGAAAAAACAAGCCGAGGTCAGCACTACTTTTTAAAGCTGTTTTCTTCTCTTGATTCTTACACAACTACACAGTGAAACTAACTAGTGGTAGATGGGAGGGGGGGGTGTGTAGGGGGTGGAGTTGCGGTACCAAAGACCGAGCAACGCGAGACGCATACTACACACCAGCGCAAACTTTGTTGTAGCATCCTTGCAAAGCATGTTTATCTCCGCTTGCTGGGGAAAATGGAAAGGCGAGGCACTGACTCTCAGGCCCACTGACTCACTGACCGTTGCACTTGCCAGCGACAGACTGAGAATGGGATGGGGAAGGGGAGTGAGCGATCGTGAGTGGGGGTAGGGAGGTGATGCTCAGTGCGCGAGACGCTCACGTCTGTGAGGTGCTGTACTGTGTTGGAGACTACACTGTGTAGGCCCTACATGACCTACTAAAGCCTGGTGTGTCAAATAGGCTACTTGGCGGGTATGTGGACTTGATGAAAAACTAATGCGTTGACTGTTAGCATGGCTTTCCCCCCTATTTATGTTCGTGGGCTTCGCCAGGTACTCAGGAAGCATGTCGATAAACCGGAGAGGGCCGAAAAAAAGTCGATATAAGAGAAATTGTTTAGTGAAGATATTGAAGGAAAAATTTCGTAATTGGAAAATCAAAATGTCGATACATCGGCTGTTGGTACAAGTGGATTTTACTGTATTTCATGACAGCCCTAGAGTCCCTTGATCATTAGCAACTGCAATCATATAGTTTTTCTAAGACTGTGGGACGGGTGGTTGGAGGGTGCCACTGGTAGGTCCTACTACTTTACTTCCCCTTCATTGATTCTGTCTATCTGTCTTACTTTTTCCCCAGCAGTAATTGTCCAATATTGTGTCGATATGCTTCTCTTTACTCAAGCAGACTCAAAACAAACAAAATAAGACCACAGGCCCTTAGTAGAGAAGCTACTTTTTGCCAAAATGCTGAATTCTCTGTGCTATAGGATTGTCAAACATTTTTTTTCCGAATGACTGTTGTACCTTGGGCTAATACATTTTTGTTTCCTTATTTTTCGTACACTTAAGACACTCATGTAGGATATTGGATTGTTTGTTGCTTCTACTAGTTCGTCAGAGCAAGCTTTATTGGTATGGGAAGCATGATGTTATTTTTTACTATTATCTTACAGTCTTGGTAGGCGGCTGTCGACATTTTGGAGTGGTCTTCTCTTTTTACATTGTTACTATGTTTACTGAATGTGTTTCAGGATGTGTTTACATTCTCAAACATCTGTCTGTTCACTGAGTGTGTCAGGATGTGTATACTCACTCAAACAAATATCTCTCTGTTTACTGAACATGTTTCAGGATGTGTTTACTCACTCAGACAAACATCTACCCCCCGGGGCAGTGCCACTGACTGCATGTAGTGTCTTTAGGCCATTCCCAAAGGGGGGACATATCTCGTTCAAGCACAGTAAAATTGTAAATGGGCTGATTCTTCATGTCATGCTCTTAATGTGCCTGATCTACAACAGGGAACTGCTGCTTTTTCTTTCCTAATTCTTTTTATTGTCATTTTCCTCTACTTCTTTTGTATGTTTGTCTCACTCTTGTGACCTGCTATTTCTGGGGTGCCTTGATAGTCAAAGCAAACCTTGTGCTGTTGAAGCTAGAGAGGTGAGCAGAGTAAGTCTGGTTCCCTGTAAAGACTTCTCTGTTGACACCCACCCCTTGGCGCTCATATGACCTGATGCAGTTGCGAGCGCCATAAAACCGTCTACTAAAAAAAACCCGCGAACAAACATCTCTGTTTACGTATTGTTTCAGGATGTGTTTACTCTCTCAAACATCTCTCTGTTTCCTAAATGTTTTTCAGGATGTGCCAAAACAACGCGTCACTTTACACAGCTATGCACTTGGACAATGTGGTCAACTTGGATGAGATGTTGAATTTGCAGGTAAGATTTGAATGTCCTTTACTCTTCCATTCCTCCCAGTCCTTTTGAGTTTTTTTTAAAGTAACAGTTTTAAGGCACTTGCATCACAATAAGGTCATATAAGTGCAGAAGATCAAAAGTTTTACAATGGAGTAGCAAACACAAAAAGGAGGAGGAGAGATAAGGACACAGCACATGTTTGATAGGAAAGAAGGAGCAAATCATACCACAACACCCTCCAACCACCCACCAGTCCTTTTGAATAGCCCTAAAGACATGGTTTTTGGGATGCCACTTTTGATGCATTCCCCAGAATTCTAGAAATAAAGAATTTTTTCTTGATGATTTTTTTTTTCTTATACAAGTTGAACCTTCTCTCATGACCATCTGTCCAAGACAAGTTACTGTGCAACCAATCAGTACCCTTTTTCCTCCTTTCATTAAAAAAAATAAAAAATTAATGACACCACTGTTCAAGAGGGTCTAGGATGACCGCTTTTCTCCTCGGAAATGGGTGGTTGTCGTGGACAGGTCTAACTGTACAGACAGTCAAAAATTGTTTAAAATGGCTACTCTTGTCGAGGAGAAAAGCGGTTGCCGTTAACAGGTGGACATCTTGGACAGTGTCATTATATTGTAAAATAACCAACAACCCACGGGGGGGTGGGGAGGGTAGGAAGTTGTATGTAAAGTTGATTGTCTTGGAGTCTTGGATAGGTGACTGTTTGATCGGGTTTGGTTGTTTTTTGGTTGTACCTTTCCCCCTTCTTGTGATGTCAGTTTCCATTTTGTTCCTGTGATGGAAGAAGTTGTGGTGGTTTCATTCCATGTGAGTGGCAACCCCGAGGAATGCTTTAATATTACTTACATAGCTACCAGCCAGTACGTAAAAGAGGCATTTTTATACGGTTTTGTTGGTCTGAGTAGGGCTGTTTTTGTCTCGGAAAATATATTTTCTCTGTTTTCTAGTATTGCTTCTCATGGACCTGCCAATGTCAAGGAAATTTTATGAACTTTCAAGACCGGATTTGTAAAAAATAATAGAGCGAAGCCGATTGGTCAATTGTTGTTGTGTCCATTACCATAGTTAGTTATTGAGCAGGAATTTATTGAATGTAGAAAAATGAGATGTTACCGCAGACTCCTTGACATCTCATACAAAGACCACATTTCATATGCTGAGGTACGGAACAGAGTCACAAACGCAGTTGGACAGCATGAAGATCTACTGACCTCAGTGAAGAGACGAAAATTAAAATGGTATGGGGATGTCACAAGATCCACAGGACTTGCCTAAACAGTCCTACAAGGAACCGTACAAGGAAAGAGAAAGAGCGGAAGGCAGAGAAGGGGATGAGAGGACAACATCACAGAGTGGACAGGGAAGACGATGGGTGACAATCTGAGGACAGCAGAGGACAAGGAGAAATGACGAGAACTGGTTTTCAGATGCTGTGGTGCCCCCCATGGTTCCACAACCACGGGATAGAAGAAGAAGAAGAAGAAGAAGAAGAAGAAGAAGAAGAAGAAGAAGAAGAAGATCTGTGTGAAGGGTTTGGAGAGGGGATGCTGGACCAATGTCCGTCATCTTAATCAGCCGTGTGTGGCTAGACTCTGGGGTTTTTTTTTTATTTGAAAAGTTCACAGCTGTGTCCTTATTTTATCTTAGGACCACTGGCTTCCTTGGTGCGGTTTGGAACAAAACTATACCAATTTTTCGGATAAATTTATACTCCTGTTTATACATCTATCTATATTTTACTTTCTTTTTGCATGTCATATTGCACTTTATATATGAATAGTCTTGATACAAGATGCTTTAAGTGGTGTCGGTTGCCTAGTGGTTAGGTAGGCTGCCAGACCCATAATCGTGAGATTGGGGGTTTGGAGGTTAGAGCCTCAGCTTGGTCCAACGTTGTGTCCTTGGTAAAGGCACTCTACACAAGTTTCCCATTTTGGCTCCGTCCTTTTTGGACATGGACGTTAAACTCAGGAGGTCCCGCCTCGTAGATAAGCTATCAGTGTTGATAGAGACGTTAAACCTTTTCCATTACACCATTTTCAAGATGAATTAGACAATATTGCTGGTAGATTTGAGTCTCCGCTCGTGTATTTCTGTGGGGTTGGAGATGTCAGTTGTCACCATTGTGTCTTCCTTTTCTGACACTGTAGGGCAATGTTAACTTGTTGAGGGCAGCAGGGTTGGACAGTTTGTATACTTTTTCTTAGTTTTTGGATTTTTTTCTTTTCTGTACAAGTGAAAAAACTAATTATGTTTTGATCTTAGCGATCAGCATTCCATCTCTGTTTCAAGAGCTGAGAAATTTAAAAATCTCACACACACACCACACACACACACACACTCACACACACACACACTCACACACACACACACACTCTCTCACACACACACACACACGAGTTGCTCCTGCATAAACTAGTTTGCTTCTTGAATCCTGTTCAGATGTATAACATTTGTCCTGTCTGTAACTTTTTAAACTTTTCGTTTCTCAGGAATTAGACGACAAACTGGATGAGCTGAAGAGAACTACAGTTAATGTTGATAACATAACTATCTTGAGCCAGGACTTAAAGGATGACTTACAAAAGTTTGCCGACTCTGGTCTGGACAGTGTCAATTTTGCAGAGTACTTTGTGGAGGTGAGATTTTTGTGCTTATCATCTGTCATTTGAATGTGGATCTTATTATTTCAGCTTGTGATGAATCAGCTGTTAGGAGAGAAGACGTAACTGTAATTGAAGATATTTTATTATGATTTACCACAGGTCTGAAGCCGATGGGCGTGGTACTTAAGACCAAGTGGTTTTCCTGACTATGAGCAGAGTTTTGTTTTTAGTCAGGTTTTTTTTTCCTAATGCTTCCTTTTCAAGCCAAATTAGGTTATGGGACAGAAGCTACAAAGTGCCACGGGTGGATGCACTTTTTTTTTGTCTTGGTAAGAAGCCTCACTCTGTCTCTCTCTCTTTCTGTCTCTCTGTCTTTCTGCCTCTCTCCCTCTTCTCTCTCTTTCTGTGTGTGTGTGTGTATGTGTGTGTGCCTGTGTGTGTGTGTGCGTGTGCGTGTGTGTGTGTGTGTTTGTGTTTGTGTGTGTGTGCGTGTGTGTTTGTGTGTGTGTGTGTGCGCGTTTGTTTGTGTGCATATGTGTGTGTATTCTTGTATATATCCAAACGCACATGCTGTCCTGCTGAGCTCCCAGTGTTCATATTCATGAACCCACGCAATGCGTGCATGAGTTGTATCTAGACTTGGATGAGACCATTTGCTTTTTTTTTTTTCCAACTCCAAGCGAGGCCTGGCTCAATGGACAGTATTGTTAAAGCTATTGCCCTGCAATCCCATGCCATTTAGAAATGTTGATAATATGTTGTGTCATGTCTGATTGAAATTGACAAAGGTGCAGACTTTGGGTAAGCGTTATTATGAAACTGGAAGTGAATGAACTGATGAAGCTGAAAGCAAGAAATTTGCAAAATTGGGTGATTTTTGTTGTTGCTGTTGTTTTTAGTTGTTTTTTGTTGTTGTTTTTATTTTGCTTTTATTTTGTTTTTATTTTGCTGAAGATTTTATGTGGATGGTTGGCGGGTGCTCTGGTGTGGTTTGCTCCTCCTTTCCTATCAAACATCTATAGTCCTTATCTCCCCTCCTTCTATTTTGTGTTTTTTACTCTCTTGTAGCACATCTAATCTTCGGCACTCATATGACCTTATTGTGTTGCAAGTGCCGTAAAACTCTTACTAAAACTAAAGAAGATTTTATGTTCTTTTTTATGACAACAAACATGAACAGCAGTGACACAACAAACTCTTCACGTGCGACGTAAAACATCACAAGATCTGTTGCTACAGCAGACATGGCACAATTGGAATTTATGCTTCTCTCCTTCTTTTACCACCATTTCCTAAAATTTATTAATTCCCACCATAACCACAATGTTGTTGTGAAATCTCTGATGAAAAGTCGGTGCACAGTCAAACCTGCTTCTGTGGCCAGACTGCCAGTTCCTACTTCTCCCTCGCGTTTTTTTCTTCTCTATGTCATTATAACGATGCTGTCGAAAACAGTCGGAGACAGCCACTTTTCTCCTTGACAATGGGTGGTTGCTTTGAACAATTTTCATTGGTTTTTCAACGCCATTATTTTAGTCTTTTGAGTCAAACAGATTGAATTTAAGGATGGGTGGTACCTCGTGAGTTTAGTTATTATAAGGCATGGGACCACAGTGTAGATAAAAGTGTTCAAATTCTTTTCCGAACTGTGGTATATTGGAAAGTTCTTGTGACTTTGCCCCATTCTCTCTGGTATTTGTGGTTGTTTAGAGGTCCTGGGTCTTTATTAGATAAAAATAGAATTGAAAAGAGAAGGGATACTTTTCATTCAACCTCTATAAAAGACTAAATTAATCTAAGTTGGGAACAGTTTTATTATTTTAAAGTGTTTAAAGGTAGTGCTTTCAGGTAGGCATGGTTGTTTTGTTATGTTTCCGGTTAAAATAAAAAGGTCTTTCTATGTGGGGTATTTATGTATGTTCTTCAGCCTCAAGGTGCGGGTTAGCTGGTTTGTTCTAGCATAAGTCTGTCTTTGTGCTTTTGCTAAAATATTACCCGTTGGGACGGGTGGTTGATCGGCACTCGGGTGTTTTGCCCTTTCCTTCTGTTTCTGTGGTTTGCTCCTTCCTTCCTATCAAACGTCTATCGTCCTGATCTCCCCTCTTTTTTTTTTGGTGTTTGTTACTCTCTTGTAGCACCTCTAATCTTCGCCACTTGTGTGACCTTATTGTGTTGCAAGTGCCGTAAAACTCTTACAAAGAAACGAAGCCATAATTCTTACCTTTCCCTCTGTTATTTCTGTGTGTCTTTCTTACTTTTTCATCAGCGCTAAAGGACCATTATTGTGTTAATGTACTTCTCTTAAATCAAACTCATAACCTGTCCATGGGTGACTGAAAGGCAGGTGCTCTGGTTGGTTTCTCCTTCTTTTCTATCCAATATCTATCGTCCTTATCTCTCCTCCTTCTTTTGTGTGTTTGTTACTCTCTTGTAACACCTCTAATCTTCGGCACTTGTGTGACCTAATTATGTTGCAAGTGCCGTAAAACTTACTGAAACAGGTAAAAAAAAACCCAGAACTGGTTCACTTGCGGCAGAGGAGGACTCAAATGGACCACAACTTGACTGCGACCCAGGCTGTGCCATTACATCTGTTCTGACCAATGTTTGTCTTTTTTTTCTTTGTTCTGACAGCTCAACTCGGTGGGTTTTAAGCATGGTCTTTGTTCTGGCTTGATTGTTTTTGTCATCATTGCAAATGTTGAGCATGAGGGAGTGTTGTTTTGTGCTGCACGCTAAGGGTGTTTGGGCCTGTTTCAGAAAAAAAAAAAGAATTAAAGTCTTTTTAATTCGCAGACCACGTATCTATACTGGAACAAAATGATGGAACAATATACTATTTTAACAAGTCTTGTAATTGCTTTGGAATACAACCTGCAGCATAGGGAAATATGCCGTAAAAGTGTGGCTCATGAATTAAAGTGTGTTACAGCACCGAAATGTATATGTGGTTTTTTTATATACTTGTGATAGCATTTTTGTGAGATGTATTCTGACTCTGGAGTATTGAATTGGGTTTGTTTTCGGTTCCACCCTTGCTGTTGGATCTTGAGGGTACTTTTCAGGTTAACAGGTGGTTGGAGGACGCCACCGGATGTTTTTTTAGGGAGGAAAAAAAACGTGTGTGGTCTTGAGCAATTAAATTGTAGTGCGTTCGTGCATGCATGGGTGTGTGCATGCATGTGTGTGTGTGGGGGTGGGGTGGGGGTGGGGGTGTGTGGGGGAGTGGGGGTTATTCAACCGTGTCTAAGGTCTTGAAAGATAAAGGTGGAACCGGAAATCGAAATAATGACAGTTGACAGTAGCAGTACGTGGTGTGTGTCTTAAAGTGACTATAGTGAATGATAACATAATCCTACACGTCCGTTCTTGTCTCTTGGGGCTGTGGTTTGCTCTGTCTCTCTGGGTATGTTTGACGTGTGCATCTGTACGATTGTCTGGACGTATGTGATAGCAATCCGTATCGGCTTTGTGGTGAATGAGGGTCCTATGGAAAGCTGTCATTTCAAAGTAGTGGCTGTGTTTTGGCTTTCATGTCTGTTGGCTTTCATGTGTATGTTGCATTGATAGTTCTTGAGTACTGGTCTGCATAGTCTTAGCTTTGGTAATAAGTGAACACTTCTATCTGACATCCACCCATATCACTCTCCTCATTCTTTTCTTTACCCCC